ATTCAAGAAGGGGTTTAGGAGACTGGTGGTGCTCAATGGTACGCCAGTGGCGAAAAAAGCGGAGAAATCCGTCAAGAAAACGCAAAACGGGACCCCTTTTTTGGCCGTTGGTTTTCACTCATGAACAGGTAACAGCTCAGAAAGCGGACGTATGAACGAGTTCAGCGCAACGCGTTTGGTGACAGCATGCCAAACCACGCTCAATCGAGTTGCTTTAGTTGTGCCGCTGCTGGCAACGCAGCTCGTCCAAATCACCAACTAAACTAGTGGGCGGATCGCTTTTGGGGGCGGAGTGCTTTCGAAGTCCTGCTCAGCAACCAGCGCACCTTTCGTCGTGAAAGCGCCACACCTCGCTTCCCAAGTAACTGGTTAAAGGCAGCGATTACGATAAGAGGGAGCGCATCGGGGAAGCATATGCACCACACGAAGCAGTTACTTGGCTGCCAAGGAAGCGAGGTGTGGCGCTTTCACGACGAAAGGTGCGCTGGTTGCTGAGCAGGACTTCGAAAGCACTCCGCCCCCAAAAGCGATCCGCCCACTAGTTTAGTTGGTGATTTGGACGAGCTGCGTTGCCAGCAGCGGCACAACTGGAGCAACTCGATTGGAGTGGTTTGGCATGGTGCCACCAAACGCGTTGCGATGAACTCGTTCATACGTCCGCTTTCTGAGCTGTTACCTGTTCATGAGTGAAAACCAACGGCCAAAAAAGGGGGTCCCGTTTTGCGTTTTCTTGACGGATTTCTCTGCTTTTTTCGCCACTGGCGTACCATTGAGCACCACCACGTCACAATAAGCCCTTCTTAATTTTCCGTGATCGCTGCCTTTAAGGCCTGAAACGTCGTCGCTTGAAAGAGTTGAAGAGTTCCATATCAAAAACACATGAGGAACATTTTTCATCTTTGGTAAAACTAGGTTTGGTCACTCGTCACTTATTGTCATTCTTTTCTGTGAATAATGTCCGCTAGCTCATGGACATCCATCATCCCCGCTCCCTGGCAGGACCATGCCCCAATGTTGACCACTTATCTATCTGCACGTAACCGTGTCCTGGTGCAGGTGCCTTTCCAGCTATGTGGAACTGAAATTCTCGGCACCTCACTTCCACATACCATGAAAGTCATTCTGATCCTGTCACTTTTACCAAAGCGACCAAAATTGCCCATTGAGGCAAATTGAGGCAAGAAATGTCTTCGAGCTCATTCGTTTCAGATGGAATTCCTTCACTTTTAGCACACTTTTATTTTGAAATACACGCAAATGTTATAATATCCATTTTGGGAGTAGTCCTGTTGGGAGAACATTGAATTGAAAGGGATTTTTTGCACCTGCTCTGGCGGGTATGTGCAACATACAACCCTTAGGCGGCGTACCTCCTCTTTATTCGGGCTGGAGCACCACTGGTCTCTCGTGGACTACTTCCACTTCACCCGACGTACCGATAAGGAGATGGTGCCACAAGTAGGAAACACCCCCGAAGTTATTAGCCCGTCCATTCAGGTTACAGAAAGTTTCTACACGCTAAGTTGGTGTTTAATTTTATCTCTTAAAGTACGCATCTGTCGCCAATTTCGACGCTATGAATATGCTCTGACCATCACTAGACGCAAATACAAAAGAGCAGATGTTTCTGCTCGTGAAATTTGTTTTTTTATAACGAGAGGTCGCGTCGTTGATTAGATGGCGGGCAGTCGGAACTAGGGTGAGGAATCTTATTCGGAGCTGGCGACAAGACGTCAACCGAAATTTACTAGAAAAATGAGCAAATTTCGAAATAAGATGCAATTTTATATTTTTTAATTCTTATTCTATCCTGCTTATGGCAGCTGTCACCTAGTGTCAGAACTCTCCGTTGTGAACTTTCTCGGGACAGGTAGGCAAGCAATTATAGGTTGTAGATAAGCTAAGGAAATAAGGACTAACTGGGGACTTCATCCGGAGGGCATGAATTGGAAGAAGAGTTGTGGCACTCAATTTTGCAAATGCAATTTGTTGACGAGGGTCGAAAGAAGTTTCTCTTTCTTTAATTTCATTCCTCTCCCTTTGCTGCAAGATCGGCTTTGAGCGGTTCCATTTATGCAGCTCCCACTGCAAATTCCTACATCTTCATCGCGGCAAGCTAAATCTACACAGTAGTGATTTTTGCATCTCTCTCATCGCTAGCGATAGATTTTATATAAGGTGCGGCACTTCAATAACTGGGCTCGACGCTTGAACGACGATCGTCTTTCCTTCAAAGTTTAGTCCTACCAAGCAAAAAGAGACAGCGCCCCTGGTCAAGGACTGGATGAACAAGATTAGCACGGTATCGCAACAGATAGGGGTTAATCTTGATTAACAAGGCACTTGGAAATCGGCGATAGACCCCTCTCTTGTTAAAATGGGACTAGACGTCCAGGCGCGTGTAGGAAAGAGTCCAGGAGGCGGCACACTTCAATTTTCACCTGATTATCCTTCCTTATCCCTAGCTAAGTCACTAATTCCTCGGTGTCTAGCGATAGCGCCTAAAATTATTTACTCGTAGCAATACGGGGGAGGGCAGAAAAGGAGTCACTTCTCCCTTGATGCACATCACCAAACTTCTCGTAGCAGAGGGTGCCGTAGTTGATGGAAGTTTCACGGCAAAATTATCAACTTACATTAGATGACCCCCGGTGTGACAGTAAGAGCGAGAGCCCCTTTTGTTAACTTCGCGTGTTTTCGAGAAGATGATCCGTCAAATTGCTATCGCTGTCGAACTTAAGGAGGCTTTTATTCGCTCGGGCATCAGCTACAGCTAGTTCCTTGATATTTTTGCGCACCATAATCTCGTGGCAAATTCTTGGATAGGACCGGGATGTGCTCTCCAATCCTCAGTTGGGATCATTTGGTTTGAATAAATGAATTGTACTCAATCCGGTTTTGTTTTGTGAAGGAAGATGGCTTTTTCATTCCCCCATTCCCCTGTCCTCTCGCTGTGATAGTCTAGGCCTTTGAGGAAGACGACCTGGTCGGTACGTTGAGCTGTTAACTGAGTTTTTCACCTGGAAACCTTGTCGGCAGAAGGAAAGATTCAAATTTCAAAGCAAAGATGCCGAGATTCCATGAAGAGAGAAGTTGGAGATCAAATCTGCATCGTTTTTATTGGTGGCTCTAACGGGATCGCCGCAGACTACTCGTTATCCATCCTTTATAAAGCTTTTCCAGCACGAATTGAGCCATCGCCATGCAGAGCCAAACACCGAAACTCGAGATCGGTAAGTCTGCCGAAGAAGGAGAGATGGCCTGCCTCTCGAAATCCTTAGGTTTTCAGCGTGAAGTGATTTCGATCCATGTTGGACAAGCCGGAGTACAAATGGGCAATGCTTGTTGGGAGCTGTACTGTTTGGAACATGGCATCCAGCCGGATGGTATCATGCCTGAAGATGATACTGTTGGTAAGCTCCCACAATGCCTCGCTCACAGCTCTTCGAACTTAAAGACAATTCAGGCCTTGAGGACGACTCATATAACACATTTTTTGCTGAGACAATGTCTGGCAAACATGTGCCGAGGGCTATAATGGTGGACCTGGAACCGACACCAATCGGTAGGTAATTTTCATGTCAAGTTCCTCGTCAAGTACCCACGGTTAGGAATTATTGCGACAAATGAGCACTTGACTGATTTGTGGCAGGACCTCGTATTCGCTCAAAGGAAGTGGCCATGATAAAGTGGATGCTTGACGGGGAAGTATATGCACCACAAGATGTAGTAGCTAGGGCGCAAAAAAAGAGGGGTACCGTTTTTGCGACCAACGATGCAGAGCAGATAGTCTCTAAACTAGAAAGCGCATTGCCCCAAAACCGCTCCGTCCACAAGCGGCCAATAATGGCGTTCTGCTGTGTTCAATTTGACCTTGGAGAGCACATTTTGTATCAAACGAGTCTATCTTGTCATCTCTGTCATCTTGTCGTTTGTATTGCCATTCCCCCCCCAGCTCAGGCAGCAAATGCTACCAAACGCCCTCGTTCAAAATCAACGGACGACGTGAATGTCCATTTTGCGGTTTGTAAAACGGACTTCCTTGCGTTTCTTCGCTACTGGCCACTTTAGCCCGCCCACTTCAATCATATGTAGGCCCAGAAAGAGCTATAGATACTCGTGAAGCCAAGTGTTTCCGTCTTTCGATAACGCATACAAGGTTGAATTAAAAGCGCAATTTCCCAGTGAACCAGCCTTATCTTCAAGTGGGTAAGAGAAAATCTTCGTAAGGATGGAAGATGAGGCTGTTTTGGGAGTACTAGTAAAGTGTGGCAGGCAGCAAGTGCTAGAAGCGCCACTCCAATTTGCAAACTAACTGCCGTCCTCGTTAGTCGCAATGCTACGCTGGGTACGCCCTCCACAGTAACCCTTTGCGGATCCAGTAAGCGCATCCACGACAAGGACCCCTTCAACGGAGCTAATGGTGAGATGTGCCTTTAAGTTTAGCTTCTCACTGGCTTCCCGAAAGTGTTCAAATTTTCGCTGGTTGAAAATTTACCATATCCTGTCTTGGAAATAGATGTTTGCATGTGGATATGTGGAACACTTCAGATGAGATCCGCACCGGTACCTACAAACTTTTATTCCATCCGGAACAATTGGTGACCGGTAAGGAGGATGCGGCGAACAACTACGCCCGTGGTCACTACACCATTGGCAAAGAACTCATCGACGTATGCATGGATCGAATCCGACGACTAGTGGAAGCATGCAAAGGACTGCAGGTATTGTGTTTGAAAATCTTAAAGCACCCCGGTTCTAATAATGAGCAACCATGTGGAGTAGTCTACAAGCCCCATGGCAGTTTCAGGCTCTGAAATTCCAATCCAAAACACTCCGAATTCGGAAACCCTTGAGCTCTTGAGCTCCATGGAATG